GACGGGTACCGATCGCCCTCGGATGCACATGTCAAGTCGGCGCGAAGCATCTTTCTCCGCCATTTCACCCATTCGCCTCCGAGAGACATGCGCCACATTCTACAGCTAGAGAGCCTGGTATACCGAGTCGCCATTACTAGCACTTTCCGGCTAGGGCCTATGTGTCACCTAGAGGAATACTCCTCCCTGGACGAGCTCCTCGATATATGGGCGTCGTCACCGATCACTTGTGGTTTGTGGCAACATAGCCTCTGGATCGGTCTGCGGCCGCCCATATTCAATGCAGTCTTTAAGCTATCAGTCCTCCTCCGTCTCGTGCCCCTCCAACCTTCCTGGAGGTCTGAGCTGGACAAGCTAGAAGGCAACTTTCGGCACTGTCTTGGGCCTTATGAGGCGTGGCCGTCGCACATGGGCGACCCAGATCACCCACCGGATAGCGGTGGCAGGCCTTGCTTGTCGCTAGCAGACCAGGCCCGCGCCGCACACTGCCTTTACGCTTATGCCTGCCACATAATCACGATCAAATTGCGGGATCCTGAGTCAACGCAGTCCGGGGATCAGATCCGTCGAGTATCCCGCCTCGGTTTCCGCCTTCTGGCGTACCTGGCAAAAGCGGGGTTCCTATCACCAGTGTTGATATGGCCAGCCGCCATCATCAGTCTCGCCGCGTCGAGTCCGGAGGACCAGGATATAGCGACGCTGTACATCAACGGTCTAGCCCACAAGTCTGGATCACGGGCCATTACATCAGTAATGCGCCTTCTGCACCTTGCATGGACGAGAACCAGTAAAGAATGGGCGGCCGGAACGAATATACTCTTTGACTTCGAAGCGCTCGGCGACGTTTTTATCTGAATGGCAATGAACTTGCATGGCTTTGGGCAAGCATGGGAGACCTTGAAGACAATGGACTATCTGTTCGTAAATTCAGGCAGGCTGCGGAGAACACCCGGTTCGAGGAAGCCTCTTATTTAAAGTCGGGAATTGACTGCGGATGGGCGAAGCTCGAAGAGACTATTACGTCAAAACGGATCGTACACCTGTCTATCGAGCCGCGCTAGCGCTTCACCCATCATGACTACTCTGAGCGGCACTGGAAAGTCGCGATGGACAAGCCGCAATGGTACGGAGACATGCAGTCCGCTGTTGGTAACCTGTTCGATGAACACGCCAGACAGGCTGAAGTGGAAACGCAGGCTCAGGCGGGGCTTTTGGAGAGTGAAGGTGGCGAGACCGATGCTGGGTCGACGATTATGGTTCCTTTGGGAAAAGGTCAATCCGCTCCTTGAGTGCGCAGCGAAAGAAAGCCAAGACAATCAGGCTTGTTGGCATAGTATGGACCGTCCCATACTGTCTCCGAATGTGGAAACGCTATCCGGAAATAATGAGCTTCGACGACACGTACAATACAAACCGCTTCAAGCTGCAGGTCTTTCAGATTATTACCGACTACGATCAGGCGATGAAGGAAGCACTGGATAGCCAGTATCCCGAGATGCCAGCAACAGTTATGTATCCACCATATCAACGCAAACGTTCTTCTTAATGCGAAGCGGAAGTGGAAGAACACAAAGGAAGCTGGGGAAAGTGTCGAAGGCGGTAGCTCTGGCAGTGAACAGACGTAGGCAGTGTTGTCTCCGGGTGATATGGAGGTTGTGCTCGCAGCAGAGAGACAAGAATGCCCGCTGGCCCAGAGTAACCTCGCTGCGCCTGTACCGCACAACTACTGCGGTGTCCTCGACCTGTGGAAGTTCGTCGCTTTAGCAGAGACAAAAGAAGAGCACGAAAAGGCTTGGGTGCGCCTATGTGACAAGTTCAACGACCAGCAGGCCATCCTTATGTGTACCCCTACAAGACGTACTTGCCCATACGAGCGCAATGGGCACAATGCTTCATCAAAAAGTACCGCAATTTTGGGGTTCGGATGACTTCCGGCACCGAGGCCAGCAAAACAATGTTCAGAGTTACCTGCTCAAGGGGATGAGCCATTTGTACCCGCTGTTTGAGGCCTTCGAGGCCACGCTGAATAATCAAGAGCGAGACTTCATCGATGCCTGTTCGCAGGATGAGGTACTAACTTCTCGTACACATTCTGGCCCCGGCTCAGAGTATCTGGGAGAACTTCGCACGGTGATGTCTGATCCGGGGCTCAAGCTTGTTGCCAAAGAACATCGGCGTGCTTTGAGATCGACACCAAGCAAGTCACGTCCTTGGCCGGAGACGGTAGGGGATTGCAACGAGGATTGTTCCGTCTTCATTGCAGCTGGGGATACCGTGCTACCATACAATTTACAGGAAATTAGAAGCAGGAACGACCTTGACGAAATGGGACGTTCACCCTCGGTGGCATCTTAGGGAGCCAGACTCGCGCAATCCCTGCCGTCGAATTCTCGACCCCAAGATCGCGGCATGTCTCCGAGGCCGGTCGAAGAATGCTGCGCAGCCAGTCCCCGAGGGCATGAGAGTTCGGCCACCAAATCGCAGTCGAGCAGCGTCGGGCAAGACCGGCCCAAGCAGTAAGCACACTCGCAAGTTGGCTATCCTTGGGCCAGGAAAGCAGACAGGCGTGCGGCAAGCTGGCTGTAGGAGGCAGCCTAGTAGTATACGAAGGCGACGGTCAGAATGGGATACCACCCTTCATAAAGAGAAGAAGGAAGCTCTGCCAAGGCGCAGGCGGGAAGGCTCTGTCAAGCGGCCTGCCGTATGCCTTTGAGGAACGAAAAGGTTCTTTCTTCCGCGCCCTCCTTACGCTACCGAAATAGGCAAACGCTTGGGCCCCTCAACGATCTGATCCTTTTAAGTCCCACTTCTTGCGCCACATGTCAAGGCCCTATCTCCTCAGTGCCCACAAGTCCCAATCCCGTGCCTCGCCCCACATGACCCCGGTCATGACGACAGTACAAGCGGGGTAGGAAAGTTCAATGAAGCAATTTCGGCCAAAACACCATACAAATTATTGTGAAGTTATCAATGAATTCCCCGCCAATTCTAGAAGAGATACATGTTATTAACGCCTATGATGACAGTAGCTTTATCAAAGAAGTGGCGAGAGTGCATTTACAACGCCTTATTCAACACATATCATGAAGAAAGTCAGTCAAGGAAGAGGTATCCCGCAGGGGACGAATCCGACCCTGAAATACAGCAAAAAGAGCACCTTCTTGTCCGCCGGAGGATGAGGTCGGATTGCTTTGCTTGTCAGGGCTTTCGGCAAGGCCAAGTGAGGCCAAAAGGCCAAAAAAAAGGAGGCCGTTTGGGGAGGGTGACGGCAATGCGAGAAGGGGGCAGACTGATTACCCGTGTAGCGTGTGTAAGGTTCCTCTGTGTAGCTGGTACTTCTATCATAATAGAAATTAGGTAGGCAATAGAGTGCCTCTTATTTGAGGCATTTTAATTGGACCGACCCCGCTGTCAGTACGAGAATTGAGGCTTGTGGGCACTGAGGAGATAGGTCGGAGCAGTAGTGTTGGCGTATAGCGGTCATTGAGTCAGACCGGCGCCTCATGCGATCCAGTAAACGGTCCGTTTGGCATCTCCAAAGGTTAGTAGCGATGCTATCTCCGACCGAGCAGACAGGCATGTCATTGTGCGCAACTGCTGAAAAGCTACCTGCAAGGCAAGCTCCCCATCGGTTCTGGTTGCCGCGATAGAGAGCTGCATTAGGACACGAGGCCTTGCAAAAGGCAGACTTGCTCCATAGAGCTTCACCGCCGGGAAAAGCTTCACATCTATACAGGACATTCTCAAAGATACGCCGGCCGAAATAACGACTCTCCCATGGTTCTTATTGACTACCTGGAGAGTAATATAGGTGCCCTCTCGAGTCGGAAAGTTGAAGCAGACATACAACTTCAGGCTGATAGGGGCATCGCTCGATCGCAAGTCACGCCAAAAAAAAAACGTTAGTCAGAGCCTCGAAGTTTTCACATGACAAGTCAGGAGCGTCACTACTTTCAATTGAATGGAGCCATTGCGGCATTAATTATGTCCCAAGCGCCGCAAGTATCCTATCTAATACTTCTTGCAAATAGTCATCTTTATGAGCGAAGACGATACGGAACCATTCTAGCTTCTCTACACCAAAAACTTACCCTGACGCTAGAAAAACCCTCTTCTCTAGCAATGCTCGTGTGATTTCATCACGAGCATGTTCGATATCCATCCCTGGGTGGTATGTATGGGCTTTGGGAGATTTGGACAAACTACAGGAAGCGACGATGTACAATAGCAAATAGTGTCTTATTGGCTCTAGACCACCAGGCGTAATAAATGTGTGTAACACCAAGCCCTCTACATTATGACACCGTGTCTCTCCTCCTCAACGTACTTAACTGTGATGTATGTCTTTGCTGTTCGATTCACTCCTGCATTGACTACATGATAGTGTACCCTTACACGGTTCACCTTGCTGTTGAAAATAATTAAACATGCGTATTATTATCTACCTATTAAAGTCGCGTTACAGGATCACTTGTACGCCAGAGCCTCCTTGACGGTCAAGGGCTTGAGACCAGGCAGGACCTTTGATGGAGTCAGGTCGAAAACACCAGAGGCGAACCACTGACCAAAGGTGATGCAAAATCCTTGGAAAATCTCCTTCGGAACAAATTGGTACGCGGCAACCTGACTCGGCAGCTCCGTGACCTTGCCGTTCTTGAGGTCCTCCAGGCTGTCGTATCTCACGTCGAATTTGGCGCCTCACACGGTGTTAGCAGAGATCCACACTGCGGGGTGATAAACGACTTACCGTGGGCGGCCTCAGCCAGCTTCACAAATTCGTTCCAGGTCACCTTGTCGCCAACAATAGTCGAGTCGGCGTCCCACTCCTCGGCATCTAGGAGGGCGGTAACGTACTCGGCGACGTCAGAGGTGTGAGTGAAGGCGACGGGCGTGTTTCCATCGCCCGGGATGGCCGCAACCTTGTGCGCCGCGTCGACGACAAGACTGAAGGGCGACATTTCTGAAGGCTTGGTGGTCCAGTAGTCGAGTAACATGCCGTTGTGGACAACAGTGTACTCGAGATCCTTGGTCTCCTTCATAGCCTTTGCGGCATTGAGCTTGTGGGGGACGGAGACAAGCTGACTGGCTTGGCTTTTCGCCATGTCAGTACGATTGATTACGGGTTGGGTAAACTTACTCTTCGGTGTGAGCGATTCCCCAGCCGCTGGTGATGAATCTCTTGGTGGTCTTGGAGGCGTCAGCGGCGCGGATGAGCTCTACTTCGGGAGGGACGCCGCCAAAGACGAGCATGGCGATGGCGGAGACAACCGTGTGAACATTGTTGTCCTCGAGGGCCTTGGTCGTTGCCGCAATGTCAGTGTAGTCAACCGGGATGATGGTGGCTCCAAGTGTCTTCTCGAGATCGGGGTTGGCCTTGAGATGAGGTTAGTCTGTAATCACGAATCACACATCGTTTTTCCCTCCAAGGCATACCTTTCTGCCAAGGATCTTCACTTCGTGCTTGCCGGTGGCGACGATGGCCTTGACCAAAGTGCGGCCGAGGTTGCCAGTGCCTCCTGCGACAGCGATGATGGCCATGATGCTGGACTGTGAGGGTTAGGAGAAGAGAAGATGGTGGTATAGTCGAATGATGGAGCAAGGATTTCAGGCTGACTCTCTGACGACTTCTGAGTTTTGTAAGAGATAATGTGCGATGAGTTTGTGAAACACTTGAAAACAACACAGGATCAATTGATCTTTATATTCGTTCTGTTTTGGCCGACTCTTAGCCGAAGTTAATGCAATCGGCCACGTTGGCAAGTTCATGCGCCTTCGGGTGCAGTGGTTGTTGGTTAGTGGGCCCGGGTCCTCATACCCACCGCGTATATAATTACATCAAGCTGAACTTTAAAATCGCAAACTGGCAGATGACAACGGACAACGAAAAAGTGCGGGGTGCGCGCCCTTACAAATCGGCCTCCATATGTAAAGAGCCGAACACAGATGCGACCGCTGTTTAGATTGGCTGGGATCCAAAAGTTCCACAAACTTAATACCATGCGAATGCGGCTTAGCCTACCTCGACCTTACCTCAGCATTCCCAGCGGATGATCCCGACCGTGGATTTTTTTAGTTGCCGGAGACCTCGGGCTTCGGCCTCCCCAAACTTCCGTCAATTATTTGGAAATTCAGGCGTGCATAACTGCCACTTGACGATGCGCATCCGCAAACCCCACATTGAGATGACAAATGGTTCCAAATGGTATCCTGGAACTCCCCCTGAAGACGTAGCACATGACAATGGACCACGATGCCCGCATCTTAGGACTCTAGTTGACCAAGACCATGAGTAGAATGAACTGGTCATGATTCATATCCTTCAATACACTTTGAACAAGGTGTGTTTGTGTGTTTCCCTTTCTGGCCATCAACCAGTCTCCATCTCCTCTAAACAATGAGTACTAGACCGCAGAAACCGTCATCTCATTTGAGTTGCGGCTCAGTGAGTTTTCTTGGCTGACCGCATCGGTCACTCCGGACGTTGAGCGCTACCACTCGAGAGTCGGGCTGAATGGATCTCCATGCACAACAGAGGGGTTCTGGTCTAATGAAAAAGAATACACTGCTGCGAGCTTCAGTCACCATCTCGGCCAAGTCCAGAGTAGGGGGCATCCAGTACCCAAGCAACAGGGGTTCCGGGCGCAACTGAGGCCTCGCATGAATAACGGACTAACATGGAACTTATGTAACGCCACCCGAGGGACTGTATCGCCTCGGGTTCTCGGCAAGAAGCTCTGAGGGAGATATCACCACGGCCGTATCAAACCCCTCCTGGAGTCATAGAGTAATTCATTCATACTCATTGGAGCTGACTTGTCCATCCGCCATGGCCTTGAGCGACCCGTTTGCGGACCCCGGATTTACCACGGTAAGACCTCACCTCGCTTGGCCAAGAACTGGTTCACCTCGCCGTCCCTATCACCCCTCACAATCTCCGCTATCCCCTGGGCACTCGTCTCCGACGACTCCGCCCCTCGGTCAATCCTGTTCTGCTTATCCTCCTCCCCGGTCAAGTTGGTGACCACGAACCCAGGGCAAAACGACCAGACCTTCGCTGGGTGCTCCCATTTCTTGTACTGATAGGTCTGAATCCCAGTAACCATATTTAGCGCCGCCTTGCTAACGCGGTACGTCTCACCCGTAACCTGGGTGTATACGGACGAGTGATCATTCCGCAGCGTGATGGAGCCGAGGGTCGAGGAGACGTTGATGATCCGAGGATCGAGGGACTTCCGCAGCAGAGGCTCCAAGGCCTGGGTCAGCAGCATGGTGCCGAAGACGTTGGTGTCGAAGACGGTGTGGAAGTTCTCGCGCGAGACTTCTTCCTTGCCGGAGATGCCGGCGTTGTTGACGAGAACGTCGAGGATGGCAAAGTCGGACGCCAGTTTCTGCGCGGCAGCCTTAATGGACTCATCGGAGGTGATGTCGAGCTCGAGGAAGCTGAGTGTGCCGACAGGCTTACGTGCCTGGATCTCGGTGAGAGCTGCAAGGCCCTTGGCTCTGGAACGGGCACCCATGATGATGTGGTTGTCTGGCGAGGCATCGGCGAGGGCGTAGGAGGTGTCATAGCCAATGCCGGAGTTGGCGCCTGGAAAAGCTAAAAGTAAGCCAACAGAAAACTGGCACTTGACGAAAATGGTACTGACCGGTGACGAGAATGATCCTCTTGTTGGGTGCCATGGTCATGTAATTGGGTGCTGATTCGGGCTGAGCAGAAATTGGTAGTTTTGTGGCGAGATAGGGACCCAGTCTTGCCATACCACGTGTTTTTGCGTGGCTGCGCACCTCTACGGGCTGGATGCGGAAGCACAAAACCACAAGTTTTCACGTCCTGTTAGATCTCATCCCGAGGCCGAGAGTCGATCATAGACTGGCGGACCATATTCGTCCGAGTGAAACGTTGCAGTTTAATCTAGCTCCAATGGGTTACCTGGCCGGACTGGACGCTAAACGTAGTAGTTTCTCGTAGTTCAGTTTTGTGGTGTCTTCTGCGGCAAAGTAAAAGCTTGATTATAAATGCCGGGCTCAAAGATCCGCTGACTAGCACCTGGAAGTACTGTATTGGTGCACCATCGTTGGTTCTTATGTACTAGAAAATGGCAAGATACGCCATTGCATCAGCAAACAAACCAGTGTCCTCTCGGAGACTATAGCTCAAGTTGTCATCAAGCCTTGAGCACAGGAACAGAGCAGCAAACGCCACGACATGGAGACTTCTCAGGAGTCATGGGCGGCAGCGATTCGGGTACGTTCCCACGGCAGTCAGCACTCTCGGCCTGGTGCTCCCCAGACCTTGAAAGAATGGAAGAAGAGCTTTCTAGTGGCGCTAAATTTGTATGTGACGGAGCGCTTTGTCATAAGGCCGAGTCGAGACCAAGTCTCTCCATATCTCAAACTCCGCTAAGCGGAACTCTCCCGACGCCAGCTCGGGCTCGGGCGCTCTACCCCTGAAACGTCAAGCTCGGGAGTCGGCGAGAAGGTTGCGCCGGTTGGTTAACGAAGCTTCTGGGTTCTGAAAAAGCCCCACGGCACCCAACTGCCGAGTTACCCTACCTATGGTTGTAGACACCGACGGGGTTTTCCAAGATCTTCTAACTTCTTAACTCCGCGTCTGTCGATTGCTAAGCACTATGCGCATTTATAATATTAATCTCTTTCACGAAGAGTGCGAGCTGTGTAGGGGATGCGCATGAATATACAGGAAGATTCCTTTTCCAGCGGGCGTACTGTGGTCTTCTTCCTCCTTCATTCGAGAACATGTATCCTGCGTGGCTTCGGACCTCAGCCCTGGCCGGCCTTGTTTCGACAACGCTCGCTCTGGATCTCCCAGAATACCGAGGTCTAAAGACTTTTCAGAACGCAAGTGTCCTCGAAATCACTCTCCACAACCCAACATCGCCGATCAATGTCTGGAACCATGATTTTCAGACTGGGTTGGCCGACATTGTACAGAGGCTTCAGTCCGACAATGAAACCAAGGTCGTCATTGTCAAGAGCGACGTTCCTGGTTTCTTCTGTGCCCATTTGGACCTTCTGATGCCCGGAATTGGTAGGCAATGCTTCAGAAAGCTCAATCGCTCTGAAGACAGATCTAACGCGTGAGCCAGAAACTGCCGCGGGTAGTTTTGTAGAACTCATGTACAACATCTCGAACCTGCCGCAAGTGACCATCGGCGCAGTTGACGGGAGAGCCCGCGGAGCAGGGAACGAACTCCTGATGGGGCTCGACATGCGTTTCGCTACCAAGTACGAAACGCTCCTCGGACAGATAGAGGTGGCCACTGGCCTCATCCCAGGGGGAGGAGGGAGCCAGCATCTTCCTGGACTTATCGGCCAAGGCCTTGCAATGGAGTATATCCTAAGCGGCAAGGACATCAACGCCCAAGACGCGGAGAGAATCGGCTGGATCAACAAAGCTTTCGACACATCGAGTGAGATGTACGCGTACATTGACGAGCTCACCTCGCGCTTGGTTCTATACCCTCTTGCAGCGCTAGCGGCGGCCAAGGAGTCAATCAACCTTGCGGCGCGTCCTCCGTTGGAGAACCTTTTGCAAGATGTCGCCTCCTTCAACCGCCGGATCGCTGATCCGATCGTGTCGCAGCTCTTGGGCAAAGCATTGTCTTTGACGAACAATCAGTCGCTTGGCGATGTGGAGCTCAATTTGGGAAGGGACTTGCCTCTACTTTACACTTAAAGTACGACGTGGTGTCTGTTGTTGGCGAGTGAGCGTCGGCCACAGCCGCCCACGGATGGCTTGGGCTTGCGGGCCTCCTAAGTTATCCGCCTCAAAAATATGTAGGATAAGGTAACCCCCCAATTCTGGACCACTCTTTCACCACTTTCACATCCATCCACCTTTGCATTCTAGCCGCGTTGTCTCGCGCCGTAATACAGTAATTGCATATTATTTACGTCATTTAAATCGTCATGCAAAATTACATTGAAGCTGATATTCAAAATGCCATCCTCGATGTTAAAAACAGGTTAACGTAGTTCATAAGCGAGTGAAACACCTAACCATGCCTTCCCCTCCAAATATGAAGATAAAACAATTATGAATGAATAATATTTCTCCTTCTCTTTAGCTGTTATCCCTGGAAGCTAGACTTTGTGATAAACTCTTGTCTGGAGGGAGGGGGTCGTCCCTTGACCAGCATTGCGCGATTTTCTAGTATTTTGACTGTGCTTGCGCTCGCTTCCGCCTTACAGGGTTAACCGAAAGGAATATCCGCCTTTTCTGTTTATTTGAAATTATTATTAGAAGCCCAATCAGCCACATATGGCTGACACAGCGTTCCTACGGTCTTTTTCATATGTTCACAAACTAGTCCAAAAATGGCTCCATTGTGCGGCAAAGCCGAACACTGAGTTTGCCTCTTCCTTCGCGTAGGCAAGTCGCTTTATCTGCCTCATTTCAAAAACGTCGTTATATGCTTCTTAGTTCAGTATGGATCTTCACTATACATGTAGCCTGTGGGGCTCTCAAGTCAAACCTTTGACAAGGGCCTTGCGGTTTGCCACCATATTCGTCCTTATTGTCCGATTCCTTGGAGGCCGCCAGGCGCAAATGGTAAGGCATTTCGATGAAATGGAAGCATTTGTATATGTACTACTGAGTCATGAGAGTTGTCTTATTGTCATGTACGCCTAATTACTGCTTAGGGGTCTTCCTCTTTAGTCCAGTTGGCTTTGAGGCTTGGTTTTGCGGCCTAAAGCGGATGTAACTTAGGCAGATGCGGAATTAGATTAGTGATAGTACAGTAATATATACAGTGCCCCCAAGAAACTATATAGGACATTACTGCATGGGCGAAAGCATTTCTCTTGTTTTTTTGATCAAAATTTGCGTTGCAGAGTATAATTCTAAACTTTTATTTACATCTAATGGAGATGTCTAAGAAAAACAGTCTTCAGGACTTTTGCAGTCGGGCTGCGGAAATTATACAAAGTGTCCTTGGTATGTTAGCCTCGATACATGCTAGATTTACTTGCTGACTGATGGGCAGATGAAGGCAGAGTTACTCAACAAACAGTTGCCGATTCTATGGGCCTGGCAGTTCTCGAATATCGACATGGGGCTATAGGTTCTGGAGGCGGTTATGGTTTTGGTATTATTATTGCTCATCGTTCTGATGGAACTTGGTCGCCCCCTATTGCCCTCAACATAGCTTCCTTTGGTGGTGGAGTTGCTTGCGGATTCCAACGATACGAACGCCTTTACGTGCTGAAAACGGCTGAATCTGTCAATACCTTTGCGGAAAAGGCATTTAAAGTTGACTCGCGGTTTGTTGCAGCTGCTGGGACTCTATGGAAAACTCTCACCGTTCATGAATCACAGGATGTTTTGGAGTATACAACAAGGTCGCTGGGCCTGTTCATTGGTCTAGCAATTCATTGGTCTTGGTCTGTTCAACGGCACAATACTAAGTATTACGGGCCGGGGCAGTCAACAAAAGATATTCTTTGGAAATTTAGAGTTACTCCTGACATTGAGAAGGATATGGTCTGTCTTAGTCGGATTTTGGATTCTAGGAAATAAAGCATCTCTATATATTGATTTATTGTTAGTATTGATTTATCGTTAACACCGCGCTCGCTTCGACTTCGCTTATTGCGATAGTTGATCCATGTATATAACTCCAAGGGCAAGATAGAAGACCTTCTTTCATGCTACGGCGAGTCTCTTGCCTAATTCGAAGTCACACCCATTGGGGAGCATAAAACAACCATCATATATAGACAGATATCTTTCACAGAAATCACAATAGCGATCTAGTTCTCGATACAGCTATTAGTTTTATCGGCTTCTAGTAATTCATTAAGTTATATGATTATAATTCTAAGATTTAGCATCCCTAGGATTATCTAGGAAGGCTATAACAATCCCCTACCTGACTGCTAAAGTGTCTTTGCGTAAGGCCCTATATCATGATCATAGTCTATGAATTACACATAGTTCAGTGAGATCATTATGGAGCATTTTACTATGGCAGTCTATGGGCTGAGACATCTAAGCGCGGCCGCTCCGGGTTGTAAGAGCATGCCGCGACGGGCAGCTACTTCATGTAGGGAACTTTAGGGGGAAGAGTTAGCCATACTACCATAACTCCAAGAGGCCAATAGCGCCGTCACCAGATTGGACCGAGCGGTGAAAAGGGGGGGAGGCGTGGGAGATCGATCAATATCGTGAGGCTGAAGAGATGGAAAGGAAAACTTTGGAGAAGAAAGAGAGGATGTTAGGCGAAGAACATACCGACACGCTCACCTCCGTGGCCAATTTGGCCTCCATCTACATGGAGCAACATAAGTACGAAGAGGCAAAGACACTGCTGGTACGAGTCATGGGCATGAAGAAACGACAACTGGGATTAAGACATCCCGAGACGCTCTCCTCCATGAGCAACCTGGCATCCCTGTATCTCCTGCAAGACAAATGGAAACCCGCAGAGCAATTATGGAGGTCCATAATACCAATGATGGCGGAGAAATTAGGCAAAGACCATCCACACACTCTCACATGCATGGCTTCGTTAGCTACGGCATACAGCAATCAAGGCCAGTACCAAGCAGCAGAAGAATTGCTGAACGAAGTTGTCAAGACAAGGAGGACATTATTTGGCGTGGAGGATATAGGAACTCTCTCATCAATAGAGAAACTAGCCTTGGTACTCATGAAACAAGGCCAGTATCAGGAGGCGGAGAAGTTTCTAGAGCAAGTGACAGAGGCACATGAGAGGCTTCTGGGGAAAGAGCATCCCGACACACTCCCGTCGAAAGCGAATCTTGCTCTCATTTATGATAATCAGGGTCGATATGAGGAAGCATAGCAGGCCGGCCAACTACTAGTCGAAATAATGGACAGGGTGCTGGGGGAGAATCATCCCGACACTATCTCCACTAGGGGAAACCTGGCTCTATCCTACAGCCACCAAGGCCGTTATGAGGAGGCTGAAGTACTAGAGGAGCGAGTGATGCGAGAGTCAATGAGAACCCTTGACGGTGAACATGTCCAAACACTTACATATATGGCAAATCTGGCCCTAATGTATTATGAGCGAGCTAAGTATGAGGACGCAAAGAAGCTCGCAACAGAAGTTCTGACTAAGGGGGCTAATATCTTTGATGAGACGCATCCTACGAGGCTTTCCTGGTTGAACAACCTCGCCGTTTGTCTCCACGAACAGGAAGAATTCGATAGTGGACTTGAGCTAGGGAGGCGAGTCATAGAGATGAGAAAGGAGGTGCTAGGAGATGACCACCCGGAAACGCTTATCAGCATGGCCAATCAGGCCATGGCGTACAATAACCAGGGAGAACGGAAGAAGGCCGAAGAGCTTATGGCAAATGTGGTTTCCACAAGCGAATTAAGTTTAGGGGAAAATCATCCTTCTACATTGATCAGCTGCTACAACCTAGCGTTGATTCATGTAGGACAGGGCGAGTGGCAGGTGGCCCAGGAGATATGGGCATCACATCTGAGGAATATGATGATGGCTTTAGGGGAGAAGCACCCAATTACCGTTCGATGTTCGAGCTATCTCACCTTGCTCAACAAGATGCTCAACCATAATGAGAATGAAATGAATCTAGAAGCAGAGTAAGAGTAGCCTGGTGCGCATCTTCGGATCTTGCTTATGGAGAGAGTTTATAACATCTTATCGAAACATCCCACCCCTTGATCTTAAACAGAACTACTCTCAAATGACTGACTTCCACCACCTGAGCGGGTCCATCAACTGTGTGATCACCTCGCAACATCTCCTGAGAATGGGGGAAGTGGTAGAAAATGGCTGCAGTCTGGTAGCAAATTACTGGTCAGAGCAGAAAGGGCTAATAGAAGGTACCTTCATGTTTCTTCGAAAGATAACACATCTCCTGCTTAGAGGAAATAATTAGTATTAGTATCACGTGCTAGCACATATTTCCTTTTGTCACATCTTGAACGTGTGATCACGTGAGCCGGTGACAGGGATGTCCTAGGACGTAGAGTTTGGGAGTGAATACACTGATGAGATCAATAGCTGGCCCACGGACCTGGTGTAGCTCGTTGGTTTGGGATCGATGGCGCTTGCGCGAGACGAGGACTTGAAAACTACATGTGGTAACCTTGGCTCCATGTACGTGTGCCCTGGCAAACATACACTCACCCAATGTGACCACTGATGTTGGCGTTACCCCGCACTTGGTCCCACCAACTAAGTTGCTCAGAGCAACAACCTTAAAGAACTGCAGATTGCCTCTGAGCCCCCAGAGTAACCACCAAAGTAAAAGCTATGTCCTCCTTAGCTTTGCTTAATCTATCAAGGCTCCTTCGCATTCCTACAATCGCTGAGGTGATTCTATCGTTTCTCACGCTCGCAGACATTGTCATCCTCCATCGTCTATGTCGGGCACTTCGCGATGCTGTCCAATCTCAGCATCGAAGTCGACTCAACGCCAACCATCTTCTAGGGGCCTTTGTCAAGGATTGTGCTTTATTCCGATACAACCTTGCCTTCTACAATGGTCTCCTAGTTGGTGGAGCTATTCTCTAATTTTTAGAGCGGCGTCATAACACCGTTCCACGCCTAGATGTCCTGCTGGAAGGCGGTCCTTGTACAACCAATTTTATTGACTACTTGTGCTTGAAAGAGCACTACATCAGTCTTGACGATGGAGATGTGAGGAATGATTCGATCAATGGATGCTTCTTTGCTAACTTAAAGGCTGTTGAACAGAGCACTCTCGTACTCCACCGACCGACCTCACCCGATAGAACGATTCATATCACGACTTCAGACACAATCCCGATCCATGCCCTTCTGCGTTCGTCCTGCACGACCGCGGACTTAAGTTTCATGTCGTGGAATAAGATCTACTCGATATTCCCTCTTGCAACAATCGTAGCTCACAAACTCTATCCTCTGCGTCCGCTAGACGATCACCTAGGAGCTCACCTTGCCGAACTTTCTAAACAAGGTTGGACTAGTCGCGACATTATATGGCTAGATCTAGCCCGGCTCAAAGTGCAAAACATAGGCTCACGACGAGTTGGCGATCGATACACCTTGGCTATGCCACTTCATCCAGTATTGGAAAGGACGGGGCAGACGCCAGATTACGTTTTAGAACATGCCGAATTTCACGTATTCGATCAGAGACTGCCTCTTCCACGGTCTACTTCTAAATTTCCATCGAGAAATACTCTACAATTGTTCAGTGAAGAACTGTCAATACGGGTACAGGAGTTAGCTTCGCCAGCTCTCTACTATCAATATACCACCGGTCATGGTTTGCTCAGTAAGGACTGGCGTCTATATGCCGAACAACGCCTCAAACGCTGGACAATTGCTGAGCTATACAAAATCCCCTCATCGAGACGCCCATTGAATCCTACAACATTTAACTCTCCATTTGGTTCGCTTCCATCCCACCATGAACTGCCCGCAAGTTGGGATTATGCAGATGACCAGATGGCGCAGTGGTACAGGCAGTGGGAAGAAGAAAGAAAATGATGTTGGTGGCTCCGTCAGTGTTCTAGGAAATACTAGACCTCTAAAGAGGCTCTTTCCAGCTAGGTGATAATCTATTAGCTACTAAGCTGGTAATTCAATTCTAGTAATTCAAGGTTGCAGGGTGCCTTGCCTGTGTCAATCACGTCCACGCGTGGGATATTCCTCTTACACTTGTTTGATATATATACTTGCCTGGACCATTAGCCCCACAAGTCTCAACGCAGTTCAGTCGAATAGCGGCCGTGCCACAAGCTTATCAAGAAGCGAACTATAAGATAAGGCGACCAACCGCGTACGGCTAGAAGAATAGCCTGAGGCGGGGTAGCATCAACAGTGCTCCTCACCCTCAATACCTTTTACACACAGATCTATCCTCAAGCGTCACAAT